AAAAATGTTAATTTTTTTATTTATTTATTGTTTATTTATTTATTTATTTATTTATTAATGTGGCTTACTTTATTTAAGAAAATTAAGACAATAGCTTTTATTTACATAATAGAATTTTTGGAATATTCTAATATTTAATTAACAAAAATCTCAAATCATAGTTTAGAATTCTGTTGTTAAGATTACAAAAATAGTTGTCATTTCAGTTATACAAGTGAAAAAAGCATTATGTGACAATACAATTTAAAATGGTTATCATCATATTTTGTGCATATAACCTACAGATTGCTAGAATGCATAACCTAACTACCATATATACTGTCTTCACAAGCAGTCATTACTCCGTAGGCACAAGTTTGAAATTACAATTTAAAATCAGTTTTTAATCCTGCCCATTGCATCATCCATACCTCTTTCAAATTGTCTTTGAAATATAGATAATGTATGGGTTACAAACACAAAAATACAATAATATTGCAAGATTGAGCCTGTTCCATTGTTATAAAATCTGAATCAATATATATAGATTAATTAAATTTATATATTTATAACACATTATAGCAATTTTAGTATGATTTTTGAAATAATATACTTTAACTTTAAAATTTTAAATTCTGAAAAAGAACTCTCTCTAAAGATTGTTATTTCAGAGAAAGATCTTCATAGATCTGTAATGATCTTTTATGTATTGTTTTTTTTTTTTTTTTGTGGAAATATAAATCATATTTTAATAATGCTATAATTTAATCAATCTGTAATATATTAAGAACTATTACTTGCTTGCTACTTTCAGATCATTGGAAAATTTTTTGAGAAAAAACCATGCAATATATTCATTTTTAATAATAAAATGCTTCATTGTTAAACAAGAGCACTACTATATTAAAAATCATATTTATAAATTAAACAGAGAGCAACATTTTATATTGGATTTATAGAAAGTAACATGTCATTATAAATCTATAGATAATAAGGTTTTTTTCTATTGCCAAGAAAGTGTTAAGCTTTTTATTCAGAGATCATTAAAGAGTAATTCAAGAATGTTATCTTGAGAGAAGAGAAATAGCAGTCAACAGCTAATAAATCACATGATTTATTGCTCTAAGGTGAATGTTTATAACATGACAATCTTATTCTCAAATAAGCTGTTTTAGAATATATATAAAGTGGAACTTGAATTGTTATTCCAATTATAATATTTATTAAATTTAACCATCTTTTTTTGGCTGTAAAGAGGATAGAATTTGTTATTTAAACGGGATGTTAGAATGGTTTAAATTCTAATTACCAAACTTTTTCTTTAGTGTCCAGTTATTGGTGGAACAATAAAAATAATATAAGTTATATTGAAAATTGACTGCATATTTCTTTCCCATCCCATACAACAAAAGGACATGCATGTTGGGCATAATTGGCTGGAAGTTGAAAACGTAGGATCCATTGAAGTTTCCTATGATATTGTTTTTTAAGTTTATCGCTGAGTCTTTCCTGGATGTTAGCTATTTTTGCATTCTCTACCTTGAGCGAGTGTGGGTTTTGGTTGAATATGTAGTTCTCAATATTAACCAGGTTTGCCAAGCTAGAATACAATAACTTTCTAGTGGATCTGATTGCTCTGTTCATGCACATCCATCTGGTTTTAGGAAGTAAGGATTCGTTTCCTTTGGGTAGTTTTATGCGATAAATGGACATTGGAAACACACGTAATTCCTTGCATGTCTTCAAAAAGGCTAGTTTCTCTCTAGCTTTGGTAAGGTTGATAACCACTTTTCGATACTTATTAGTCGGCATCACTTTCTAGAAATAATAATTATCATCTGCACATCAGATTTAACAAAATATCACGTACCTTTTTAATTTCGCATCGGTTAAAGGTTCTATAATTATTATCATCTGCACATCGGATTTAACAAAATATCATGTACTTTTTTATTTCGCATCGGTTAAAGGTTCTAAGGTACGTGATATTTTATTATTGTTTGTTTTTGAAATTTTAGTGTAGTATTAGATAATTACTTAAATAAAATGTTAAATAATTTAAGAAGTTATTTTGTATTTGAGAATTCAAAAACAAAGTATTTAAATGTTATTGAAAAAGAAATATTCTTTCAGTAAGACTTTATTAATGAATTCTGTTTGATTAACTTATTTTTTTCCAGCAAAACAGATTTTGCACTGCTTTTCATGTGAAATAAAGAAGCAAGAATGACACTACAGTAAGTCTATTTTATAAATTTAAATTTGAAAATTAAAAATAATTTTTTAAATAAGTTACTTTTATTTTTTGAATTGTATTTAATGTACATTTTTAACAGATCTAAGAATAATTTGACTGACTTGAAATATGCAAAAATTATGATCAGATTTTTTTTAAACTTAATATCTGTCATCATAATAGAATTTTATAAATTTTGAAATAATTAAGCTTTGTATAT